TTTTATTTTTTATTTGTCCTTATTTTTGCCCCGATTATTCTCCAGCCACATTTACTTTTTACTTATTTTTTGGAATATGAGTAACGTTATTCGATTTAGTGAGTAATAATATGCATTTTTCCAAAATATAGAGTTCAAAATTCATTTGTCGATTTTAGTCTTTTTCATATTTACCTATCTAATTTATTTTTGTCTACTTGTTATAATTTAAATGTAATAATTATTAATCCTAATAACCTATTAAATATTAAATTATATTATTTAGTCATTTTTACTTCATTTTAAGGGCTAAAACATTGAGATGGGTCGAAGACGGATTAAGGACAATATGTAAATATGATAGTATTTTTCATCTTAGTTATTTTGGAGCAATCAAATTAGTACCTACTAAAACCAAAAAACAAGTTTATCAATCGAACCATGAAAGTTAATATAAGTATGTTTGGTAGTCAAAATTGTGGTCAGTAGCATTGTTAAATGTCATTTTATGCATCTTTTAGGGTAGTTTTTTATTATCATTTAGCATCATAATTTGTACATTTGCATGTTATTAGTTTAAATAATGTTCAGCTTATGTCTTTTATCAGAATTCTCGTATTGCTAACATTTTTATATCATTTTCAGATAATTCGAGTAGAGTAGTATTTTGGAACCAACTTTGGATGCGTTTGTTGGAGAATTGGAGTTAAATGAAGCTTGGAACTTATGAAGAAGGATTTTAACGAATGCTTAGAAGTTATTTTGTTCAAGACACATTCGATAGAATTGATTTGACGAAGATAGATTGCTACATTATAAAACCTAAAGGATGTTATTGGCAGCTTTGACCCACTGTCAGTATTCTGACCAAATCTCATGACTCGTAACTCCGATTGACGAGATTCAAAATGTTTCGAAAACTAAAAAAAGTTTCAGACGAATTTCATGTTTAGTTAAACTGAATAATCATGTCTGAATCGAGCCAAAAATCTGTATATGCGATCGTATTTTTGACTTAGAGGATCACATTTGTTGGCCGAAGTTTTGCAAGATCGAGAAAAGTCATCGGAAAGCCATCTGGAGAAAAAAAAAGGAAAAACTGGGATCATATTCTTATTTCTGCGATCACATTTTTGTGATGCAACTCCCAAAACTGCAGAAATAGCATCTTACCTCATTTAAGGGCAATTCAGGAAAAAAATCTCTAAATCTATGATCACATATCCTGATACTACAACCACATTTTCTAATATCTTGCTCCGGAAGCTTCTGCCTTGCATATAAATATGGCCCTCATAATAAGATTTGGAAGAGATACAGTTCTAGATTACGAAAAACACTTCTGAAGGCGATTTCTAAAACTTTTCAACACTTTCTAAAGATCTGAAGGTTATGAATCATCTCATACACTTAGTTTAGAAGATTAATCATTTTTTTTCTTTTTATTAGTTTAAATTCATTATAGTCATGTCTAGCTAAAACCCTAATTTTCAGTTTTGCATTAGACTACTACTTTTCATGTGATCAGTTAGCATATCGGGTTTTTGACTTGTGTTTCTATCTAGATTTTTTTAATTTTGAGCTTAATGAATGGTTGACTTTTAATTCTAGTTAGGATGATCACCTAGCTAGGGTTATATCATTCAGTTAATAGAATTTGTAATTCTTATTGTCAACTTGTAATAAGTAACAAGTATCAGGTTAGTTCCATGTTTGGGATTTTACTCTGATATAAACTGAAAAATCACATATTTATGCTTCCGAGATTATGATAAGTATTGCGTATTGCTGGGAATTTTACATAAAACTTAATGGAAACTTATTTTTATCTCAGTTAAGAGTTTTTTTAATTAGAAAGTAAAAAAGTTATGGTTAACTGAAGCGCGTGTTTTCGTTAATATAACTAGGTATAAGAAACTATACTAGAGCTTGTTAGTTTTTCTTAGTAGTAGCTTAGATAGAACACATTCTGAATAACTAGATCTGGGTTGATTGCATGATTAAGAAAGTCGCAGCAGAACATAAATCATTTTTATTATTGAGTTTTATTTAATTTATTTTCACTGCAATTTTTATCTTTTAGTTTAATTCAAAAACCCCTCTTTTATAATTTATGTTATTTGACTAGAATGTGCCTAATGCAAAAAGGCATTGATGGCAAGGTGGTATCCCTTAGGATTCAACCCTGTGGTTCCCTGTGTTATATTATTAGTGCAACTTGCAATGAAATTTATTTGTTTAATAGGCCCATGACAGTGTTTACAAGCACTATAATAATTAACTCGTTATTATGTATGTATGTATGTATGTATGTATGTGTGTATGTATGTATGTATGTATGTATGTATGTGTACATAAAAACGGGTTAGGCTCCATAAACACAGACTCAAGAATATTGATTTTAGAAAAGGTTTTTAAGTTGTATTTTTAATTACTATTAAATTGTTATAATCGATACTAACACACACATACACATTAGTGGATATTGACTTTAGAAAAGGTTTTTAAATTTTAGTTTTAATCACCACTAAATTGTTATAATCGACATTAAAATGAAATTCCAATGTTAAAATTGATAAAAGAAATAAAAATAAAACATAATAATCAACATTAGGATTAATGTTGAACTGTATTTGAAAAAAAAATCAAGTAGAATGTTGTAGTCAACATTTAAATAAAAGTAAATTGCTATAAGTGAAAAAAATGAAAGTAAAATGTCATAGTTAATATTAAGATGCAAGTTTAAGATTGTAATAAACATAATTAAAGTACATTTCTGTAATTTAGGAGAAACGAAAGTAAAACTCTATAATCAACATGAAAATGAAAATTAAATGATATAGTTGAAATGAAATTGAATGTGAACATGAAAGTTGAAAGCTATAATCGACATGGAATTGAAAGTTAAAATGATATAATCGACATGTAATTGAAACTTAAATATTATAATTGGAAAAAAATGAAAGTGAACGTTAAAATGAAAGTTGAATACTATAATTGAAAAAATAAAGTGAAATGCTATAATAGACAATAACATGAATGTTGAGTGTTATAAATTGAAAGAATTTAAACTAGAACGCTATAATCATCATTAAAATGAAAGTTTAACATTCTAATCGACATTAAAATGAAAATAGAATGTTATAAATGATATTAAGATAAAAGTATAATGATATAACTCATATTAAAATAAAAATGTTATAATAAACATTAAAATGCTATAATTATGATTAAGATGAAAGTCAAATGTTATAATCGAAATTAACATGAATTGTATCTTGTTATCTTTTCTAAATCAACAAAAGAGAAAATTGTGATATTTAGATCATTATTTGTACATATTAATTCCATATATTATTCTTCACTTAGATTTTTGACTCATCGAGTGGTATTAGAGTGGGATTTCTAATTACTTTCAAGAAGTCTCATCTATTTTTCATCATAGATATGAATATTCTTTCTCATATCTATTTTTAGTCTTTAAAATTAAATGATCTAATGTGTCTTGTCAATTTATGGTCATGTTTTCAAAATCAATCATGAATTTAGTACATCAATGTTGATCAGTTAGGAAAAACATCTTGGATTAGAAACAAAATCTCTAATGTTGTTGGCAAAGCACTATGATGAATAGGATGATCAAATGGTAGACTATGTTAATGGAATACATGACGACTTATGATGTGCAATTGAAGAAATACCGTTTAATACAAATGTTCATGGTCATGAATTATTAAATTGCTAAAATCATATGAGGATGATGTTCTTGACTTGGATGAAGAAAATACATACAATGATCCAATTTCTTTAGTTTCCAAGAGAAGTCAAGAAAAGACGAATCAATATGTTGATTTAGATGATGAAGAAGAAGTAGAAGAAGAAAAATATGTGCTTAGTTTTGATAGTGAACTTGTTGCTTTGTATTCAAACAACAATCAAATGAAGAATTTTTATAAGAAGGCAAAATATAGTTTATAAAACTTCTGAAGCAAAAAACAAAAGAATTTTTCAAGTTCAAGTAAATTTTTTTAGGAGTGAAAAATGGTGATTTTGTTATGGTGGTGAAGATTGATTTAGAAAAATCTTGTGGGTGACTCAAGATATGATTGCAGTTTTTGTCATCGAAGAAATATTTGGCCGGTGAATGCATGTTCAAGAAGATAAAGGAGAAAGAAGGAAAAGTCAAAGATGTTTCATATTAAAGAATTAAAAGAAATCAAAGAAAAAATTAAAATCTATCTATTGTGGTTACGGGAGATGATGGTAAAGGATGTTACCAAGTGTGGTCATATGGTTGTAATGATAAATGAATGAGATGTACAATGCCTGGATAAATGATTGTAGTTCATAAAAGTGACGAAGGGAGATGAGAAGCATAAAGAAGAGAAAAACGAGATAGAGTACAATGAAGTATATTTTATGGCTTTGGGATCAAGGGTGACCATTCTTAAACAAGTATCTTCTTTACTCTCATATTTAAATATTCTATTTTCAAAATTTAAGCATAATGTTTCTCAAATATAAAAGGAGTGTCTTTACAAGATTAAATTACTTGGCTATACAAATAGTATTACTAGATAGGCTAAGGATGAGGAGTATAATTTGAAAAATATGTAAGGTCCCTAAATACCTTTGTCAACTGCTTTGTTGGAGGCCACATGACATTTTGAATACCTTTTTGGTGATTAGGTCGAACACATGTTTAGCAGTCTTCAAAAAGGGTTCAACAGTCTTCATATTATCAAATCCTCTTGTCACCTCATTTTCCGAGAGTGTTTGAAAGCTGTCGCCCAAGGATCATTGGAGCGATTGTAAAAAGGAGCAGCAGAAAATTCAACAAGATCCCCCTTGGTAAGCAAAGAAAAGTCATTTTGATGCTTGTAATACTCCACAGTGTTGCTCTTTCTTTTAACCAGCCAACAATTGATTTTATCATGAAAGCTCCACATACGGATTCCTAACCGATCTCCATATTTATGCTGAAACTTTTTCTTATGTAGGTGAGTCACAGTTAATTGGGGCTAATCACCACGAATATTCTGATCAAAATTCTTCATGAAGAGCAAGCCTCCCCTTTTTTGAGACGTGACTGTTCTCCCTCCTTGCTTAATAGTGATTCGGGGCGGAGCTTGTTCAGGTTCCTTATCAAAATGGCCAACAACCATTGTGGTTCTAACAGGCGCATTATCGGACTGTTCAAAAATTGATGTAGTGGCTGGGGCAGTTACAAGGATCTGAGAAACACTTAACCCTTCAGCTATTGTCTAAAATTTGTCTTCAAATTCAGCAATTAGTCTATTTTATAAATCAAAGTAACCAACCGATAAAGCACCAAGGTTGACCTAGAGATCAAAAAATTTGTTTAGCTCTCTGAATATTATCTTGCTGAAGTTTGGAGATTTGATCATTCTTTAAAGAACTTTCAGCTTCGAGCATATAGATTCGAGAATCGAGGTTCTCAATTTGAAGATCCTTTTCTATTATTTTCTATTTGAGCATTATGATCTCCTCCCTGAGCTCTGGTTTTGATGTGTCTGCCCCCTTCTAGTTACCTTCCCCTATAGATATACCTTTTTCACGAGAGGGAAGGTCTGTTTCACCTTCCGCCAAGAACCTGGCAAGCCTTTCAGAGGCAACATCATGCACAGGCCTTGTAGGGGAGACATTCCCACGAGCTGAAGTGGTTCTCGGTTGCTCATGATTAGATGCTGTAACAGCCCGGAATTTTAGGTATTGTTATAATATTGTTTTTGGGGTTTTAGGAGGGGACTCGGCGAGTTGGAGCCAGACTCGCCGAGTAGGACCACAGATTTGGTCGCGGGTTCGCGACTGGACTCGACGAGTCCATTATGGACTCGGCGAGTCTGCGCTGTTCAGCGGAAACCCTAGCCGTTCGGTTTTGGAACGTATATAACGGACTTATAGGCCGTCATTGTCCGTCTTTAGCGGCTGAGAAGAACCCTAAATCGGTTGTGGGCATCTAGAGCAAGGATTGAAGGCCATTGGTGATCTTGAAGAAGTTATTGTGCAAGGAAGAGAAGGGTTTGGCTAAAGGAACAGTAAGGGAATCAAGTTCTGAGGATTGGGGACACAGAGAGTGCATTATTCAGGTAATATTTCGGATTATATTCTGCTATGTTGATGTGTGCATGGATTTAGGGTTTATGGAACCCTTTTGTGACTAGATTGATTATTACCCTTGTTCCCCCAACGATTATAACCCTGTATTAGGACCTTTAGAGGTCCAGAATGTCCCATGCCTGTGTATTTCGGGAATTAAGAGAGGTTTTGGATTGGAATCCTTATGCCTTAAGTCAAAAGGTAAATTACAAGTCTTGGGGTGTAGCATGAGCACCTAAATGAAGGTCTTACATGTTGTACCAGCTTACGAGGACCAGACCTATGAATGGTCGGGACAATACTGATCTCAGGAAGCAGTTTGATCGACTGCATGGCATGGACTCGCCGAGTCCGATGAACAAACTCGGCGAGTAGCTTGGAGATTAACTGGGACTCGTCGAGCTGTTCTTCAGACTCGGCGAGTGGAGTCGGGGTGGCCCCGCGATTCTTCCACGAGGAACTCCTCGAGTCAAGAGGGATACTCGACGAGTAGAAAGGGAACATCAGGATTTGGTGAGGACGTCTAGACTCGCCGAGTCCGGTCAAGTTGACCGTTCACCGTTGACCAGACTTGACCTACATGTGATTTCTTAGGGTCAGTGTCTTGAAAGATAAAAGTATTAATAAGGGATATATGATTTTATAGGGAGTCTGTAGCTCGGCGGATCGAGTGCGAGTGATTTCAGGAGTCGCTAGCTTTCATTACCCGCGAGGTGAGTCTTCTCACTATACTGTACCCGGAAGGGTTTGACTGTGTGACCGAAAGGTCGGATATGATATATGATATATGTGTTATATGTGTTAGGATGAATGTATTAATTGTTGTGTATGTTTATGGGCCGGAAGGCAATATGTTATGGGCCGAAAGGCGATTATCTCAAGGGCCGGAAGGCGATTGTGTTATGGACCGGAAGATCAGGGCCTGGAAAGGCGTATATGCGTAAGTAGTATGCTGGGGAACTCACTAAGCATATATGCTTACAGTTGTTATGTATGTGTTTCAGGTACTAGCGAGGACCGTGGGAAGGCGCCGGCATGACGCGTACACACTGTTGATGTTTTGAGATCTTGGGGATTTTATGATTGTATTTTGATATGAAATTTGGAATAATTATATTTGGTTGAAATAATTCACTTATTTTAAATGAAAATTTTGTTTGAAAATTTGCGTTGTTACAATTGGTATCAGAGCCTTGGTTTGAGGGATTCGGGTGTACCTTCGGGTGTAACTGAACTCAAACCGAGGATTTGAGGAAAATCTTTTAAAAAAATATATAAAGGCATAAACTGTTATAAATGGTAAAGTGGTAAATAAGAAAGAAGCAGTGTGTACGATCAGCCAGCGCCCGAACGGTAAAGATCCCCAGAATACCTTACAATGTTATGTTATGCAATGAATTATGAATTGTTATGCATGCTAGAAGACTAGGTATTCATGATAGGACTAGAGTGGCCTGATTTGTGATGCCTTAGTCTAGGGAGTTTGCCGATATGAGATATTTGGTAGCGTGCAGGTAGATAGTGCATATCAAAGTAGAGTACTCACTATTCGGGGTTTGGGGAGGAAGATTTGGGACGACTACTGATACGGTGTGGTCGGTAGTATTGGGCCCGTACTACCGAAGACACCGGGTCGGTGGAAGACCCAAGTAAGAATCCCTGGATATCGGAGACTGAGTAGGGTTGCGTATCAAGTGCAATTGTACTTGATGGAGTCTCTGATAATTTTATGTTGTATTTCAGAGACATCATGGTTACCACACGCCACGGGGCGAGTTCGAGCGGTGTGAGCGACGAGGATATTCGTCAGATGATTCAGGAGGAGGTAGCTGCAGCGATCCGGGCTGAGATCCCGGAGATGTTTGGGTCTATTAAGACCACTCTGATGGAGATGTTCGAAGAGCGGTACGCCGCACTGACTGAGACTGCAGCCGCTGCCGCTACCGCAGCCGTGGCCGCTGCCAGGCCACAAGGGGGCGATTCGTTGCTATTCCGGGAATTCAGCAACACGAAACCCCCTGAGTTCGATGGGACGCAGGATCCGATTGCTGCAATGCGGTGGATCGCCGACATTGAAGGGTGCTTCTACACTTGCTCATGCCTGGAGCACCTGAGGGTGCGGTTCGCTTTGAATCAACTCCGTCTGGGAGCGAAGGATTGGTGGAAGTTCGTGACGGCGAACTTCACTTTGGCGGAGATTACAGCAGTGACATGGGAGGGGTTTACTGACATGTTCAGGGACGAGTACGTTCCCCCAGTGGAGAGGGAACAATTGATTCAGGAGTTCTTGACCCTTAAGCAGGGTACTGATTCGGTTGCGGTGGTTACGCGGAAGTTTCATGAGAGGGCAATGTTCTGCCCTGAGCTGGTGTCTACAGAGCAGTCGCGGATGAGCCGGTACTTAGGCGTTTTGAGGAGGGATATCCGGGAGTTTGTGTCAAACTCAACCTATCGTACTTTTACTGAGCTTCAAGCAAATGCCAGGAAGCGCGAGATCGAGTTGGAGACCCAGGCCAGGGAGGAGGCCGAGTCTCGGCAGGTGGACCGGCGGCCGGCTCAGTCTCAGTCGGCAGCCAAGCGGATCAAGTCCGCTGATTTGAGGACGGGAGGTCAGAAGGGCCGCACTTGCGGGAAGTGCGACAAGAGTCATGAGGGGGCGTGCCGAGCTGGTGGTTGCTACAAGTGTGGCAAGGAAGGACACATTGCCAGGGATTGTCCTAAGGGGTTTATGGTTTGTTTTCATTGCAACCAGACAGGCCATCGGAAGGCCGAGTGCCCGCAGCTTCGTCAGGGATCTACACCTACTACCAGGACTACTGAGACTCGACCGGCGAAGGTCGAGGCCCCGAGGGCTCGCGGGAGAGCCTTTCAGCTGACTGCGGAGGAGGTCCATGCTGCGCCCGATGTTGTGGCAGGTATGCTGTAATTCACGTATTTATTTAAAATCGAGATGTTATGCTTATGTTAATATATGTGTAGGTACTTTTCTTGTGAACTCTATGCCTGCTCTAGTGTTATTTGATTCGGGTGCGAGTAGGTCCTTTGTATCTGTAGCTTTTAGTCAGCATATCAGCATTAGTTGTGAGCCGTTAAGTCGGCCCCTGAGCGTTTCTATAGCGGTCAAGAGGGTGGTTTGTGCCACGGAGGTTCTTCGGGGATGCGTACTAGAGATTTTCGGGGTTGAGTTTCTGATTGACCTAATTCCCATTGCGATGGGTGATGTCTGTGTCATCGTGGGCATGAACTGGCTGAGCCGATTCAGCACTGTCATTGACTGCGAGCACCAGCTGGTGACTATACGAGACCCTAGTGGAGGAGTTCTTACGGTGTACGGCGAGGGTACCCGTTCGGGATCAGCTTTTTGTTCGGCCGCTAGGGCGAGGCAATGTCTACAGTAGGGATGTAAGGGTTTTGTGGCGTATGTGATGGATACGCGGGAGGCTTCCGAGAGACCAAGGTCAGTGGGGGAGGTCCCAGTGGTGCATGAGTTTCCAGATGTTTTTCCCGAGGAACTGCCGGGAGTACCTCCTGTGAGGCAAGTAGAGTTTGGTATCGATCTGATTCCGGGGGCTGTGCCTATTGCGAAGGTGCCTTATCGTCTCGCACCTCCAGAGATGCAAGAGTTGTCCTCGCAACTCCAGGAGTTGCTGGGGAAGGGATTTATTCGGCCGAGCAGCTCGCCGTGGGGAGCACCGATCCTATTCGTCAAGAAGAAGGATGGTTCACACCGGAGGTGCATTGATTACCGGGAGTTGAACAAAGTGACGGTCAAGAACCGCTATCCGTTACCGAGGATCGATGATTTATTCGATCAGTTGCAAGGGGCATCTTGGTTTTCCAAGATCGATCTGAGATCAGGGTACCATCAGGTAAGAGTGCGGGATGAGGACGTCCAGAAGACAGCATTTAGGACGCGATATGGGCATTATGAGTTCGTGGTGATGCCTTTCGGGCTCACCAATGCCCCGGCAGTGTTCATGGACCTCATGAACAGGGTATGCAGGCCGATGCTGGATCGGTCTATGATTGTATTTATCGACGACATCCTGGTGTATTCGCGATCTAGAGAGCAGCATGAGGGACATTTGAGGGAGGTCCTTAGGGTACTGAGGTTGGAGAAGCTATATGCAAAATTCTCCAAATGTGACTTCTAGTTGCGGGAGGTCCAATTCCTTGGACATGTTGTTAATCAGGCAGGGATATTGGTCGATCCGGCCAAGGTTGAGGCAGTGATGAGTTGGGAGGTACCGAAGTCACCTTCCGAGATCAGGAGTTTCCTTGGGTTGGCGGGGTACTATCGGAGGTTTATTAGAGACTTCTCCAAGATCGCAGTACCGCTCACCAGACTAACCCGGAAGGGTGTTGCATTCTCATGGGGACCCGAGCAACAGATTTCTTTCAAGACACTTCGCCAGAGATTGTGCGAAGCCCTGGTATTAGCTCTTCCGGAAGGGATGGAAGATTTTGTCGTATATTGCGACGCATCGATTTCGGGACTGGGTGCAGTGTTGATGCAGAGAGGTCATGTGATAGCTTATGCATCGAGGCAGCTAAAGCCTCACGAGGCGAGATATCCCAC